GCTCTTGGTGAATGCCATTTTCTTATCTTTGGAATTGTGTCGAGGATTACAAGGATTACCGTACTTGCAGGTTCGGGGTTTAAACCGGAACGAAGTCGTTCACAGCTCAGCATAATGAACTGTGAGGGTGTCTCACTGAGTGTCGCACTTTTCGCAGGAAGCATTAATGACTCAAAACTTTTCGATAACATTTGTTTGTGCAAAAATCCAGGGCATACAGCATGATTTATTCTTACGAAAGATATAAATGAATGATGATTATTGAAGTTTATAGTGCGGTTACCATTCGAAAAATTGAATACAGAGACACCGTTATACAGATTCATCACACAGGAACGAGCGAATCATTCATCTATCTCATTTACGGCGGCTGGAACTAGCCTTATTGGTTGACCTCTTGGGTCGTGCGCTGGTTTCTTTCTGGCCCTTGCTCGAGCTGGCTTCCTAAATGTATAACAACTACATTTCGACACTTGTCTATTATTTAACAAAACTTGAGAAAATTCTTACCATGTCGCTGATGTTCTCTTCCGTGACCTTGCCTATTTTACTTTTGCTTTCACGCTTTTTCGTTGTGCTGCAGCTTGGCGACAGTTCCTGAACATAGTCGCATTATAGAAACAGCAAGTGTGCGTTGTATTCATCACTTCCTACCAGTGCCACTCGTTCCCTGCTTTGGTTTCTCTCCAATACGCGCTGCTGATGCAACTGTCTCAAGTTGCTTTCTTTCCATACTTCTTAAGATGTAGCCATTTATAGGTAACCTGTACTCAGTTTCATAACGCTACTTACCTGCGTTGCTTTTTAACCACTCCATCACGTATTCCTTCTTCTCCATAACGGTTTCTTTCTTTCTTCTTTCTCGCACTGCACTCAGTACCTAAACGTTTCAGCTTTGCTTGATCTCCAGCAACTACAACTCACCTCTTTATCTTCTTTCCCCAGCTTTTCTTCATAAGACAAGAAAGTGTCGCTTTCCATGAACGATTCAAATGACGACATCACTGAACAAAAACAGTTAAGAAATGGTAGAAGTGGAGCACACTGGCGAACAATTTGGCAAATGACATGGGCGTTATGACCGAGGCTTTCGCAAGCTATGTTGTTTGCCTGTCGGTAGTTATGCGGTCCCCACAAGAAAATG